TCTGAAGAAGTTTGTACCTCGCTGTTGTTCTGTAATTGGACACCTAACCTCTGGTAAGTTACTGAACTCATCTGAGGTACTGTGTACGTGTATATATTCTATCAAGAGGATTGTGTAATACTATAAGTCGGGTCCCTACAAGTCTTAACTGCCCAATGCACACAAAGAGAAACCGCAGACATTTTCCTTAGAATAACTGTTGAATGGATAGTTTAGCTTGGAAACTGTGGCCTAAATTTTTCAACTTCCTCTTTCGTAATCTATTAATCTTTCTCAATCATGACCACTGTTCGGTGTTTTTTAAGTCTTTGGTCCCCTTGATTTAAATTTTTTTGTGTGTGCATCACACACTATAAATTACCTATGATGTTGCGGCATAGCTCTTTAACTTAATTCTGAGGCAGATCAGATACAGTACGCTCAGAGATAAGCAGACCAAAATTCGATTTGAAAACGTTTTCTTAAACGCGTTCAGAACGCGTGTCTTACGCGCGCTCGCACCCAGATAAGCCTGCGTTACAGACAGAAATTTACCTGTAGACGGCGGTATGAACCCAGATGCGCTGAGGCAAATTTCACGCAACTATTAGACGTCCTGAATAGCTGGCTCATCCTACCAAACCAGCTTATTAAGTTACGATTTGTGAGCCCGACTGCGTCTCGGGTTTGAATAACTGCCTCGATTTCTCCTAACCCCCTCGTGTTTAAATGAGGCTATGTAGACATGGAAAAAAGTCCTCTTTTTTAAGGTGGCCGAACATGGTTTTCGCGCGCGCTTTTGCTAATGCAATTCAGCGCGCGCACGAGGATTACAAAAAACAGACATGCCTTCAATAGAGTGATCATTTTATTTACTCAACACCTGCAGTATCTGTGCTATTTTTTTCTGTAATTAAACGCAACGTATTGATGGCTTTAGTCTTTTATTATTAAGATATGTTAGAAAAGGTAACGATGCAAAGAACCCAGCAATTCTCAGTTTTTTCTTTCTTATCGAAAGA